ATCAGGACCAAATCCTTGTGCACTGGCCTCTGAACTGGGTCTCCTGACACCACAACGAACTGGTGGTGAAACAGCTGATTTGCATGGCGTTAAGCCACAGGCCTCATTGTGGTTTTAATAATATATTATACCAAAGACAAATTAAGTCAAATTTGTCAAAGGCTACTAGTCGAAACGTTGGTTAATAAATAGCCTATGCTTAAGTGAGTGTGCAGTTGTTCTCTTTCAATAATGGAGTTTCCTAACACCTCAACAAACCTGGTGTTGAGCATCATTCCTCATCATGGCTTTAAAATTGAATTCAGCTGGACACACTTTCCTGTTTATCCCAACAAATGGCCAAGCAAAGCGCACGACACTGACAAGGTACGCGATACAGTACGAGACCAACCGCCATTTACTATTAATATTAACTATTACTATTAATTACTATTAAACTGCTGGTTATCTTTTCTGCTCAAGATGAGGACGTTTTGATTATTGTAGACATTTTTAGTAGATAATGCTTTTAAGTAAGATATTAAAATAGTATAGATTTCAGGAGGAAAAGCCTGAACAGAAACAGTATTTTTTGTCACATGGCCTCACATGTATCTAAATGTAAAAATACATGTACGTTTTTTATTTATGTATTTTTTGTCCGGACCTCTGCTTGGATATATATCAACTTATCAAAAATATATCAACTGACTTATATAAAAAAGAAATACTGTATTTGTATGGTTTTGTAATATCTGTGCCACATATTTCCTTATGTGCCATGGTAGATAGGACTCTTATTATAGAATTTGATTACAGAAAAACTGTTTTGAACATGGTAATGGATTAAAACATAAGTAACAGGATGGATGTACAATAACCTTACATCTTAACACCTCTTTAAAAAAAACAAAAAAACAGATCATTAGGGGTGTGACGAGAACGAGACGAGATTTTTAAAAGAAATTCTCAATCATGAAATATATAGGGGAAAATAGTCTTTTATTCAACTGAAAAACACAAAATGCAAAAAAATATAGGTGCATTTTGAAATCAACTTGTGCTTTATGAAATTAAACTTCTATTTTAATGAATTATATGCAGCAACAAACAACATGTAAACTAGAGCTGCACGATTCTGGATAAATTGAGAATCATGTTTTTTTATATATAAATTGGAGTTCACGATTCTCTCACGATTCTGAAGAAAAAAAGATTAGAAAATTAAACAAAATAACAATTTACTAGTGGTTCTGACAAAATGTTCATTGCTTAAGTCTTTAAAAAATATATTCATTTGAACAAAATAAAAAAATGGAGTCAGTGTCTCAATTCATAAAGACCTGTTTTACAATTGGAATCTCCTGAATGAATGATTCAATGACAAATATTTTTTTTAAACGGGCAGTTGTCGCCACCTCCTGGCAGAAGAGTATACGCGTTACAATACATACACGTCTTAAGATATTTTCATTTTGATCGCTACTGTAGAGAATAAGTGTTTATACCCAAACTATAAACTTTTATCCCAGTACTTATGTTATTTAAATGTCTGTAACACAGAAATAATATGTGGTTGAAAAGACTGTTTGTGTTGCTCTTTCTGGATCAGCAGCAGCATGAATGATTCATTAACATGGGCAGCGACAAAACGTGCTTCTCACGTGCCACTCACAATCGCAATGTGAAACAGTCGTAATAGAATCGTTGTCATTCAGGAATAAGATCGCGTGGGTGTTTGAATCCAGATCGCGATCTCTAAACGACTAATTGTACAGCTCTAATGTAAACTGCAAATTGTTTTGCGAGGATATCACAAGTTCTCACGAGACCAGTCGGAACTCGTCACATCCCTACAGATCATAGATCATATATTTTGTCTTTAGCCGAAAAAAACAGCTTCGTAAATAAGAAGATTTCAATACATGAGGATTCTGAATGAGATTTTTTTTAGTGAGCCATTAAATGACTTCAGACTTGACTCAGACTCCAAGTTAAAGACTTGTGAACATCTCTGCATCATAGGTCACATGATAACGTCAACATAGCGGATGATATCCGAATCGCATTCATACTTAATGAGCGCTAAAAGAGTACATACTCTACAGCCTGAATGCGTTAAGTAAGTACTTATTGAAATTAAGTGCCTACTTAGAGAGTATGCGGTTTCAGACGCAACCCGACAACATCTCGTTTTGACATCTTGCGTGGTTCTGTGTGATTTGGACAACTTCAAGTTACACCCCTCTCTTGCAGTCCGCAGACAGACCCTTCTTGACAAACCCGGAACATTGCGCGCTCTTAAAGGGGCTGCGCCGCATATTTCAGATATAAGATATGATCTTAAAGCTGCAGTCCGTAACTTTTTTTGGTTAAAAATTACACGAAATTAATATTTGAGCAAGTACATAACCAGCCAGTGTTCGAAACTATCGCCTTACTTTAGCCCGATTCACAACGGTTAGCTTATAATAATGTTTTCTAATTTGAGTGGTACGGGTAGGTTTTCACAGGAAATTCAAGCATGCCTCAGTGTCATTACTTCACATCTGTAAACAAAGAAGTTGTCCCAGCTATTAGGCTATAGCATGTGAGGATCCTGCAGCTGGCCGATCGTTTATAGCCTTTTCTCACAGCAGCTAGAATAATTAAATGTATCATTTTGATGGCGGATTGTAATCCAGAAAGGATTATGCTAGATCGAGGTACTTTGCAGATCTTATTGAGAAAAATCGTCATAATCCTAGGATTCTATTTTCAACGATAGATTCCATTATTAATCCTAGATTAGAGGTGGTAGGAGACCTGTCTGCTGATTTATGTAATTCTTTAAAACAAATTTCATAAATTGAACATCAGATGTACATAATAACATTAGTCATTGTTCGTATGTCATTCAGCAATCGGTATCTGGTGTTACTTTCTCCGATTTTGAGCCAATTTCTCAATTTCTATTTAGTCTGAGGATATTATACTCAGACTAAAGTCTACAACTTCTCCTCAAGATATTGTTCCGACCCATTTGTTAAAGCAAGTTGTAAATTCAGTTGGCCCTTTTATAGTGTCTATAATTAATAAGTGTTTGTCTTCGGGGGTTGTGCCTGACTACTGTAAACATGCAGTGGTCCAACCCCTTTTGAAGAAATCAAATTTGAGTAAGAGTGTGTTTGCTAATTTTAGACCAATCTCAAAAATTCCATTCTTGGCTAAAATTATGGAGAAGTGCGTTCTCATGCAACCTCAGTCATTTGTTGATGCAAATGAGATCTGTGAAGTGTTTCTATCAGGTTTTAAAAAACATCACAGCACTGAATCAGCTTTGCTGAGAGTTTTTAATTATATTTTTCTTGCGACTGATCTTGGAAATGTTACTGTACTTTTACTTTTAGATCTGACGGCAGCGTTTGATACGAATGACAATCAAATACATATATCTCGTCTTGAAACATCTGTGGGTATCTGTGGAAATGCCTTAAGATGGATAAAGTCATATTTTCAAAATAGGAGTTTTTCAGTCTGCATGGGAGAGTTTGTATCGGCATTGACACACATTTCTTGTGGTGTCCCGCAAGGCTCTATTTTAGCACCTTTTTTCTTTTCTCTGTATATGCTACTGTTAAGATTGATTTTGGATAAATATGGTGTGTCATTTCATTCTTACGCTGATGACACTCGGTTGTATTTGTCTTTTAACCCAAATTCTTCCAGTGCCTTGGGGCGTTTGTTGGCCTGTGTAGATGAGGTGAAGTCTTGGATGTCTGCTAACTAGGTCTGAGATTGGCTCGATACCAGTTTGATGCTGTGCTAGAAGTTCTTCAGTCAAAGGTTTTTCAAAACTCAATTACACTGAATGGCTGGTATAGTGTCCCATGGAGAGTCTTTAGCATTTTTTTAAAGTAAATTTCATGGCCAAATGATAAATACATGTATCAGTGTAATCCATTATGTAAAAAGTTAATGAATCAAATGTTTTAGATCCAGTCTTCACTATCTCTCTCTGTCAGGATGTGCCAGATTTTGGTCTGATATTCAAAGCAGGTAAAGGGATAGTACACCTAAAAATGAAGATTCTGTCATTAATTACTCACCCTCATGTCGTTCCAAACCCATAAGAGCTTCGTTCATCTTCGGAACACAAAGTAAGATATTTTTGATGAGATCCGAGGGCTTTCTGACCCTCCATAGACAGCAAGGGAACTGCCCCGTTCAAGGCCCAGAAAGGAAATAGTCCATGTGACATCAGTGGTTCAACCGCAATTTTATGAAGTTATGATAATTTCTGTGAGCAAAAAAACAAAAATAACAACTTTATTGAACAATTCTGCTCTCCGAGTTACCATCTACCGCTATTATTGAGAGTAACACGACACATGCGCTGCGCCTTGTTTACATGCAGAGGAAAGAACAAGGCACAGAGCATGCGTTGTGTTACTCTTGATAATGGCGGTAGATGGTAACTGGACTAGAAGAACTGTTAAATGAAATGTGTTTTCTTTGCGCACAAAAAGTATTCTTGTATCTTAAAATTACGGTTGAACCGCTGATGTCACATGCACTATTTTGTCGATATCCTTACTGCCTTTCTGGGCCTTGAACGTGGCAGTTCCCTTGCTGTCTATGGGAGGGTCAGAAAGCTCTCGGATCTCATCAAAAATATCTTAATTTGTGTTCTGAAGATGAACGAAGGTCTTACGGGTTTGGAATGACATGAAGGTGGGTTATTTCATGCTATAACTATTAAAGAGGAATAGATAATCGGTTCACGTGCCGCTTGAACTGAGGCACAACAGCGATCTGTCATGACAAATTAAAGAGCTACAAAACGCTATTGTTATTTGAATTTCTTTTTTAAAAAATGAGAAAATTTGAAAGCTGACACTGTTTTATACCAGAAATAAACTGCTGGGTCTTGTCTTTTGGCATGTTGTCAGTGTCCTCTGTGCTCTGCGATATATTTCTTACTGCATGAGAATGTGATGTGTGGAGTGAGTGCCATGGCTTGTTGGACGTAGCAACAGTAACTAAGGGGGCAAGTCTTTGTGATGGGTCAAATACTTGTCTGAATAATGATAGATGGCACTCAATTTAATTGTTGTTTTTATATAGTCAGCCTTCTCCTGAAAGCCCTTCTCCAGCAGAGCGGCCTGCTCCCTCAGTTTGCTGTCCATGGCACGTTCGACCTCCTCTCTCTGAAGCCTCATCTCCTCATCCATCTTCTCCCTCATCTGTCTCATCCTCTCTTCATTACTCCTTCTCTCTGCGTCCATCTTCTCTAGTAACTGTCGCTGCTCCTCCTCTTTAGCTTTGATTTCCTGCTCCAGGATGACCGCTTTCTCTGTTTCCTCTGGTCATTGACGAAAACAGGAGGAAGGAAAGAGACGCTTTAGAGATAAAAGACTGAAACCATTAGATTAACAGTCTATTTTACTGTATGACAGATATGAATGGCAAAGTAATATATTTTAAATTACTCATTACACTTCTATGAATGACTTTGTTTTCATTTCTTAAGCACTTTTTTGAGTCAATAACTTACTGAATGTGACATTTGTGAAAGCAAAATTATTCTTGGGCCCTTGAACCTGCTTCTATTATTTATTGCTACTCTTAGCTGCATTTTAAACTGATCGCCTAAACAAGTACCTAAACCTTTGAGCACCTCTTTCAGACTCAGACTCAACTTTATTGTCCTGTTACGGAAACTAAGATTGCAGCAAAGTGCCAATACACTAACCATATCCATGCACACATAACCATTACACCCATAAAAGCAAACAATGTAAACATACAATTTCCCCAACATACATTAAAATTCAACCAGGCACTACTCAAGTTCGTAAATTTTGGATACCAAATACATTCTCCTCCCCACCAGACTTGTTCAATAACTTAATGGCCACAGTAACAAATTAATCTTTAATTATTTTCGTCTTGTATACAGGAACTCTAAAACGCCGGCCTGATGGTAGCAACTGGAACTCAGTATGTAGTGGGTGGTCAGTAGCACAGAGAATGACCTGGGCTTTATTTTTTAATCATACGCTAGATTTAATTATATCGCATGGAATTGATCTTACTGATATAGATATCGTACCTCAAAGTGATGATGTTACTGACCATTTCCTTGTATCGTGCATGCTGCGTATTACTGATATTAACTATATGGTTCCGCGTTATCGTCCGGGCAGAACTATTGTTCCAGCCACCAAAGACAGATTCACAATGATAAACCTAGTTGTTAGTTTGTGCCTATAATCGTTAATCATTTAGGTACATAGCTGAAATTATTTTCTCGAAAAATCAATATTTTTCATCCGTTTATCTGAATGAAATGTGTGGTTTAAAATACAGGTAAAAATGCTAGCGAAAATCAATTCAGAAAATCTGAGTAATTTCTTTGTGTATTCTACGCAGTTTGCGTCATGGTTACAAAATGACATCAACATCCTTTTGTCACAACATCATTTAACAAGCGAAGCGAGTGAGGCTTTGCTGCGGTGAGATCTGGGGCACGGCCCAGGCTCGTTGAAGGTCTGCCGCTGCGACCCAGCGCTTAAGGAGAGCCGGGTCTTGTGCGGGGCGATGGTGTTGTCGAGCGAGGCGAGTTCGGGGCCTTGCGAACTTTGCTCAAAATATTGGCCGCTCTGCTGGAGTAGATTTAGGAGTGAGGTTGGCTGATTGCTGGGAGACGAATAACTTAGATCGTACAGATCCGCTTTGTTTACTCATCGCGAGGACGGTGCGTCGGAATTAATCAGCGTTTGCCTTGGACTTAAATATGGTCCACTTTCCGATTGGAGGAATTGTAGGCACAGCCGAAAGATAAGAGGATGCCAGGGAAAAAATTGGAAGTGACGCCGGTAGAGGCGAGGTTAAGCCTCGGCGTCATGGAGAGCGTGTGGCTGGTCGAGCAGGGAGCAGCGGACACGATGAAGCCTGGAGCTCGGCAGCGGTGTCTGGCGGAGAAGCAGCGATCCTGGGTCCGGCAGATTAGCCGGAGAACCGAAAAAATCCCTAGTATAGGTCTCGTCGTTTAAATGGGAGAAGCTGAGTCTGAGATATAATGACAAAAAGTGCAAACCGAATGCTGATAAACCGTCAATGGATAGAGGTAAGTCAGCTGTATTTATACCATGGTGTTGATTAACTTGAGTTCGCTCCATCTGTGTTAATTAGGCTAAGTATCTGACGTGCTCCTCCCGAACCTTGTTAATAAAACATCATTTAGTGCTGCGTTCGACACTATAGATCATGACATACTCATAGATCGATTACAAAACTATACAGGTATTCAAGGGCAGGCTTTAAGATGGTTTAGATCCTACCTGTCCGATCGCTACCACTTTATTTAAACGGGGAGTCATCTCCAGGGGTGCACATAAGTTTTTCAGCCTGGTTCTCATAAGAGAACCTGGAGATTTGGTTTGGTCCTCACACTGCACATAGTGTGACCCATTAAATATAACTATAAAAAATAAACTAACAATAGTGATAATATTATTGCACTTTATTTCGTTAGTTTTTTTTAAATTAAATAATAAACAAAATAATAGAGTGTGATAATACTATTATATTTTAAAATAAAAAGGGTGTATTAAATACAAATACAATTATTTTATAGTAAACTTAAAAATAAAATACTAATATTTACAACTACTCCTTTTTTTTTCATATAAATTTTCATCATTTTCAACCTTAAATCAGCAGGCTTTTATTTTGGCGGGTTGCCGTGTTTAGCCCTTTGAAGATTAGCCG